CCTTTTGACCTCCTGAATTCTGCAATGAGATTTTCGGGTCGATTCAGCCGAGACGGCCCGAGTGGAGTTTCATGTAAATGTTTCGTACGGAAAAAAAAATCGCTACCGGGGTTCAACGGTACGGTAAGATGGGTACATTTACCGTTAGTTCCCATTCAGGCCCATAAGCCCTTAAAGCGCTCGTTAATTATCATCATCAATTAATTAATTAATTAACAATAATTAAAAAAATTCGTATGTGCAGTAATGTGTGCATGTATTTTCACTAAATATTCAAGAAGACATCAAAAAATGTCATGTCACTAAAAAAATTTCAAAGATGAAATTTGAAAATGGGGGTCTGAATGAGTTAACTGTACTGGAATCTCCAGTCCATAAATTTTTTCTTAATCAGTGAAAACTATTAAAAATCACCGTTGTTGCAGCCTACTATTTAATACCTCCCCTTATAATAAAAATAATAATATTAATATACATAAATATATAAATAACAACTAATTATATAATGTATAATAATAATACAAGCTATAAATATACTGTATAGGCCCCTAATAATAACAATAGTATTATAATAATGATGATGATGATAATAATAATAATAATGATAATAATAATAATGATAATAATAATAATAATAATAATATTATTATTATTATTATTATTATTCATAATAATAATAATAATAATAATAATAATAATAATAATAATAATAATAATAATAATAATAATAATAATAATAATAATAAGAATAATAATAAGAATAATAATGTATATTTTATTATAATTCAGATTTGGGGGTGGGGGCGTCCCTGGGCTCCCTCTTTACAAAGTTAAAAAAATATGACAAGAAAGAAAGAAAAAGAAATAATTGATCGCCCATCAAAACGCATCAGAGGTTATTTTCGGACGCCTAGAAAACAAAAATTTTGCTGGGTAGTTTTGTCTCGATCGGCCTCAATTTCGGCACCCTCCCCCATTTAAGTCCCTCCACAATTACAGCACACGGAATAGTTCAGATATTTAATTACCAACCTAAAACTAATTACATTCAGCATAATATTCGATTTTCAGGTCCCAAACTTTTGACCTTTACCATCTTATTTAGTAAAATGCCAATTCCAATAAATGTTTTTCTAACCAGCTTAAAATACTGACTGTATAAGGTTATCAATTATATTCATTTCTTATCGCTCCAATTATCTTTGCCACCTCGGTTAGCCGGTCTGAATTTTATTTGTTTTTGCGTACCTGGTTTTCTGTTGATTTGTGTCTTGTTTCGTCCTGTTCTGCCCGTTTTTTTTCCCCCTTTATTTTTCAGGCTGTTTCAAACACAAGATTTGTTTTCTTATCTTCTCGGGTCATTGCCTTCTTTATTTTTGTTTGTTTTGCATATCTTACAAGTTAATATTATATTATAAAAAAATATCATTTTCTGTTTTATGTTTTGAGAAAAGGAAGTAAATATATTTTACATAGAATTGAATTTATTACAACATACTGGCTATGTAAGGCTAGAACACGAAAGAGGGCGACAGACTGTTTTAACTGTTTGTCAAGTTCGTATCATCCACACTTTGAATCACCTAGTTTAGGTGACGGTTATTTAAATGTTTGGTTTATAAACAAATATTGAATTTCAGGCCCGTAGCCAGGTCATTTCAAGGGGGGTTCTCTGGGCGTAGGGTCCAGGGGCCTGCCTAATGGCCACGGTGGGGTCGGGGGCGAAGGCCCCAAAGCCAGAGCATTTTTTTATGTTTAATGGGTGTATATCATGTTTTAAAAGCAGTTATGTTTTGAAAAAGATCTATGTAATAAAAAGGTGGTAATATAATAAAATTAGAAAATATTTTCTGAGAATAGGCATGTTTAAATAACACCGAAAGACCCCTCATCGCATAATCAATATCATACTGAACACATTTATTATTATTATAAAAAAAAGCTATACTATTCCTCTTCTTCCTCCTCTTTCTATTATTCTTCTTCTACTACTTCTTCTTGACTCCCATTTTGTACACTGAAAATAATAGTGCTATTTTACTACATGGCTAAAAAAGGTACAAATCTTGTCATTACTACTGACAGGGCCATCGTTAGATTAAGTCAGAGCCCAAAATATACCATCATATTCAATACGTTATCTGACATCTGACAACTTTAATACAGTTATTTGTTATATACTAGGCCTAATTCGAAATTATTATTTTAAGACTTTAACATAATACATGCTGATTAATAATAGCTGAGATTTGATGCACATTTTAGAATTAATAATCGGTTTTTAGTATATCTTCCTGAATATTTATTGTCTACCAAATGAAATATGAATTATATGCATCTTTAGAAATACAATTTCTACAATATTAATCTCGTTTTGGATGAATTCAAGATTATGCTCAAAAACCGATTAAAAAGTCTAAGGATAGAAAACACAAACATGGACATTGATACCGAATGCAACCACATAACAAACGTGTTGAAGGAAGAAGCAATGAATCTTGCACATCACAAAAAATAACTTATCACAAATCTGAAGAGAATAAAAAAATAGAGATCTTAGACAAACGAAGGAAAAAACTTAGAGAAATCGAAGACAAAACATTAGTTGAAAAAATAGAATACGCAGAAACTATAAAGACAGTGAGGAAAAAACGAAAACAACGAACCAGAAAGAGAAAACATAAAATAGTCATAGAAATTCTAGAAAGTGGAAGAGGCCCCAAAAACATAAATAAGTTAAACAACAAAAAATCAAGAATCAACCAACTCAAACGGAAAGATGGAAGTATAACATCAGATAGATCAGCAATACTAGAAATCTGTTCGGACTTCTACACAGATCTTTACGCTTCAACAAAGACAGTAAAAAAGAAGAGCGAAACTGAAACAAATACACTACCAAATATAATACCATCAGAAGTGGAAGATGCCATCAGAAAAATGAAGAAAAACAAAGCACCAGGACAGGACAATTTGACAAGTGACCTCATTAAACTAGGAGGGGAGGAAATAGTTAAGCAACTAACAAAGATGTACAAATAATATTACACGAAAAGAAAATCCCAATCACATGGAAAGAAGCAAAAGTAATTCTACTACACAAGAAAGATGACAAGACAGATATAAAAACTATAGACCAATCAGCCTTCTCTTTAATAATCTCTAAGATATTTGCCAGAATAATTCAAAATAGACTAAAGAATATATTGGATCAACAACAACCAAGAGAACAAGCCGGCTTCAAGGGAGGCTTTTCCACAACAGATCATCTACAAACAGTAAACCAGCTCATAGAAAAAACAAATGAATTTCAACTCAATTTGTGTTTGGGATTCATAGACTACCAAAAAGCTTTTGACAGCATTAAACATAGGGATATGTTTGCTGCACTACGTAACATGGGAATCGATGAGGGTTACATACAAATAATAGAAGAAATTTACACGAATGCAAACGCAAGAATTCACATAGATAATGACATATCAAAAAAAGTGCAGATAAGAAAAGGTGTTAGACAAGGAGACTCATTGTCCCCCAAGATATTCACAGTCACACTGGAAGAGGTATTTAAGAAATCAAACCTAGAAGA